AAAGAAAACAGCAAATGTTGACAAGATGTGGAGAAACTGGAATTGTCATTCACTGAAAGAAATCAGACACAAAAGGTTACATATTGTATGATTCCATTTATATGAAATATCCAGGATAGGCAAATCCATAACTAGGAGATAGGTTGTGGTAAGAAGTGAATACTAATGGGTAAGGAGTTTCTTTGGGGCATAATGGAAATGTTCTAGAATTTAGACAGTGTCAACGGTTTCAAAACTTGTGAATATAGTGGGCCTCCCTGGTGGCACAGCGGGTTGAACGCAGCGCTGTGAAGCTGTCCGCAGGCTCCGTGGCGCCGGTTAGATTCCCGCTGGCCAGGGAGATTCCCGCATGGCATGGCAGACCCCTCCTATCGTGCCCACTGCTCCCCTCAGCAGTGTATTTCAGTCTTTCTGCCTGCTCTGCTCCCTGCTCTGTCTCTGGTGGATTCTCTCACTCTCCCGTGCCTCTGGCCTTTACCCCAGCTCTTGTATAAATAAATCTTTAAAAAAAAAAAAAAAAAAACTTGTGAATATAGTGAAAATTACTATATAGTACAATTTTAAAGGTTGCATTTTATAACACTTAAATTTTGCTTCAACTTTTTAAAATCTAAACTTTAGTATTAACATCTAGCTCAGATTGTCTCCAGCGCTGAGGGGTTGAGGATCTGTGTGAAAGGAGCATGAGGGAATTCTCCACAGTTACACAGATGTGTGAATACATCAAAAAGATTTGTTCCCATTACTATACACAAATTTCACCTCAAAGAAATTGTATACAAATACTGAACATGTTCATCTCATGACATTTGTTGATGTAGTTAGTGGGGCACGTACTAACATACGCAATGTACTTTGAAATGTGCCAAAAGAAAGATGGATGAGCAGATGGAGAGAGAGATGATAACACAAATCTAGCAAAAGATTAATAGTGGAATCCTGGAGTTGGACAGGAAGGTAAAGTTCTTCCCAAGTGCTGTGTGACTAAAATTTTTCAAATAATATATTAAGGGAAAGGTTAACAAAAAAAGAAAAATACCCAAAAGTCATGAGTACTATGCTGAGATTTCGAATAGAGGTATATGACAGAATGGCTGACTGGCAACCTCAGAGTGTCTTCTCTTGAAGACATGACTTGGCCAAGATAGAAAGGCTTCAAGGAGCCACCTATGTGAAGACATCAGCAAAAGCCTCCCAGGCCCTCCTTACCCACACATAAAAAGGCTATTCTAAGACCCTGAAGTTTGGTGTGCTCAAGAAACAGTATCTAGCGACAAGGGTTGAGTGATATAAAAGGAGAGTGGAAAGAAAGGTAGGTGCCAAATCATGTGGGTCTGCAGACTGTAAAAGAATTTTGATTTTATCTGTGTCAAAGGGGAGTCAGTAGAGATTCTAAAGCAGGGATGGAGTGGGATGAGATGGGGTGTGTCCTTATTATTTAGTTTTAAAATAGCTTGCTGGCTGCTATGGGAAGAATGGCTTTGAAGTGTTTAGGAAAAGCAGTAGAGAAACTATTGTGATGCCCTGGCCAGGACAATGGAAGCCTGAATGGGAGTGTTGGTGGTAGTGAGGACAGGGATTAGTGAATATGGGAGATATTCTGAGTGAAGAATTGATGGGCTCCATTGAAAGATTGACAATAGGATGACAAGGGACACCAGAACAGATCCTGGGCTTTAGCTTTAGCCACTGACTGAATACAGTGACATTTACTGAGATGTTAAAACTAAAGGAGAAGCAGGTTTAAAGTATGGTACACAGGAGGATTAGAAAAATCTTCTTTAAATTGGGCGTGATTGGCGTTGTGAGAAAGACCAGAAAAGAATAGAATCACAATAATCTGGAAGTTGTTAAAGGGCAGGTTTTAGATTTGTAATTTCTTTTTCTTTTAAGAATCAATTTTGACTTGACTGAATTAAAGTCCTTTAAGCCAGGGGAAAATGCAAATCAAGCTCACTGATTTGTAGTCTACCTGGGAGGTTAAAGATAAATTGGGAATCAAGAGCCCTGTGTCTCTAAAGTTAGAGAAGTCAAGGGGGAAAAAATCAGGAGCTAGAAACGAGGGTGACAAGGAAGACAAAAAAGAAACAAGTACGTGGAAGTAACACATTAAGTCTGAACTGCCTCCCCCAGTCAATGATAAGAGACTATCTATCTGCTTTCACATGTAACATGCTCAAGTGCCTTCCAGTATTTTACACAAAGTGGTGACTCAAATTTTAGTTCTCATCCTCTAATCCCATTAGTTTAGCCAAAGTATAATGAAAAATCCATGGCCTTTGGAGCTAAATAAATCTAAATTTAAAGGAGGCCCACTGCTCAGTAGCTCTGTGACCTTGAGCAAATTACTTACCGTTTCTAATCCTGAGTTTCTTAAATGTAAATGAAAATAATTAACCCAAGAATTAGCATTAGAAATAACAGTCACAAAGTGCCTGCTACTTGGAAAAAATGCTCCATAAACAAGAGCTACTATTATGTAAAAGGCACCTAATTCATCAATGCTCAATGCAGTTAATTTCCTCCTTTAGAGCACGGATTCCTGTTTCCAGAAGAGAAGTAAAGACAAGGGAGAAGACCAAAGGGAAACACATAAAAGATGACAATTTCATTTCACCAGAGAAAAATGCAAAACAGAGAAATCTAGGAATAGGTATGATGCGTGAGCAGTCTTATGAATGGACAGGTCAGAGGCTTGGTTATGATTTAGCTGTTTAGAACTAGAAATATATTTTCGCATGGAATCAATGTTTAGCATTCAACTCTTAGATAAACTCACAAAATCATCAGTAATGAAATCATCAATAATGAAAATGTGATGTATCTCAATAAAATTCGTAGCAAGCAAAACAAGTAAATTACCAAATACAGAAAACCAAGAGGCTTTAATAACATGTCATTTATTTTAGACATAAGCACTTGAGGGAAGGGTTTTATGAGAGGTTTCCGTGGTGACTGAGAGGGGGTTTTCAGGGAAATTCCAAAACCTTTATAAAGCTGATGACCCTGGTTCTTTATTATGTTTTATTTTACCTCAAATTTTATGGCTTCCCCTTCTTTCAGTAAAAGAAAACACTAGCTCTCTTATACTTAATAGCCATGATTGCGATCATTTATTTCACAAATGAGAGGAGTAACTGAAGAACAAGAAGGTAGAAGACAGGAAAGAGTCACAAAGGATGTGCCCAAATATAAAGAAAAGAGCCTTAGGTTGATTAGGGAACCTCAGTAGTAAAAAAAGTGAAAAGAGGGTAAAGCACAGCATTAAAATATGAAGGAAGGAAAACCAAGTGATGGGAACTGGCAGAGTCCCATATGATTCCTGGTTATTTTAAAGATCACAGGTTTTGTTTGTTTTGTTTTTTTCAAGATAAAAGATATGAAAACAAGCACAGCAAATGCAGCCTGCTCTCTATACAAAAGAAACGCTCAAGTTGAAGATTCATAATTTAAAACACGGCACGCTAAGGTAACACAAGATGTTCCTCTAACTCCTTTTTATTTCTCTAAATTCCTCCAATCTTCTGTCCTCTTTATATAGCTACTGTTGCAATGATATTATTATGCCCTATTATGTAGATAAGAAATATCTAAACTGGGGTTAGAAAGATGACTCTTCAAAATGAGAAGTCTACAATGGAATAAGATGAAATTATTTTTAGAAAGTCTCCTCCAATGCTCATAGGTATGTTTCATGCCTCTTAAGTTAACGTTAAGGAAGGGTAATGATTTCAACCCTCAGAGAGAAGCTTTTGATTTTCTCAAAGAAATAAACCAAAATCAGCTTTCGGGTCATGCAACTAAGGTTGTGAAATGTTTTCTGAAAATGTTGATGAGTCTGAAGAAAAGACTAATGAAGAGATGTTGTAGTTCAAAAAATAATATTTTCTTGGGCCTGACCTTAAATCCAGGACCTTTCTCAGTAAGAGAAAATTTTGCAAAACAAATAAACGAAACACACTTAATAATGTTTTGGCCAAATCCATGTAATTTAGCCAGGCCCACCTAGAACCAGGGATGCAAAAAGTCCAACATTTTCAGACCAGAACTGCTAAGTCAGCTGATCCTTTTGCAAAGAATGCACTTTCACATCTTTCTGTAGATAATAACTATGTAAATGTCAAATTAAATGCTCTCCAAATGTATAAAGTAACTCTAACTGTTCAATCTTAATGAGAAAACAGGACCCAAAAAATGTTAATGGGGGTGCTGAAAAGCTTGACCTGCTGACTGCAGGAATGCTGACTCTACTGGCTGTGAATTCCTCTAATATCTCTCCTGTAGCTACAAATTCCTATCTAATGTATACAAATAATTTGATTTTGAAACTTGTCAAGTGATTTAAGGGCCTTGTTAAGCCACGATTACAGGTATGTCCTTATGCATTTTCCTACTTAGTAGACACTGAAAATACAATTGTTGTCTTGAAAATCGGGAGTATTTTATAAAAATACAAAGTTGGGAGGCACTGCCTCTGGGTAATGACACCTGAAACTGCCAGGTAAACAGCCATTAAGATGCCCTTCCTTGCCTGCTACTCCAGTGTAGAATATGCAATTGCAAGTTCCTACATTGCATTCTCTTTCCTATCAAGATTATTAAATTGATAGCTAGTATCTTAGGAAAAGGTTAAAAATTTGAAGAGTTCTGTCAAATGTGATATTTTTATTTAATCACATGTCCTTAACTTGAATAAGTTGCATTCAACTTCATACATATAAATTTACATGACATTCAATCAAGAATTCTCAAGACAATTCCTTCTTTTAATTAACCAATGATTTCATCTTACAACGAGTTGTAATTAGGTCAAATTACTCTCTAAAGTTCACTTTAATTACAGAATATGGTAATTCTGCTGATAAATTCTCCCGGAGCAACAGGTCATCAAAACCTAGGACTATTCAAATAGTCTTTGCACTATGGGAATGACTTATTACCTATTTACTCTATCTGCAGAAAGACATAGAAACTCTACCAAAGTTAATTTAAGAACTTACCAATTTCCCTTGCAATTCTGACAGCTTCATCTGCATCCTGTAAAAGCAGGAAATGAGAGCCAACATTAATCCCATCAGCCATTGCACCATGTCTTTAGGGCAGTCATATATTGCACTACTGTCTCCTCTGATTCATTTAATGCTCAATTTTACAACCTTCTAACTCTTTTCATTCAGAGAAATGTAAAATTAATACCATAAGTGGAATGTAAATTCTACCTCATCATTATTATATGAAGAAACTCAAAGCAGTTTGAAATGAGCTGGCAGGAAGCTCTACCAGAATTGCCTGATGATTTGGTGCAGTTGCTGGGATTTAAGAGCAGAATTTACATGTTTACCATCAATACTGAATCATAAATCAGATCATTAAAGCTTGTCCACAGCCAGCTTGTTCCTGTCCCTCTGCCTTTTCTAGGTAATGTTTTCCTAGATTCTGTCAGCAGGGGGAGTTGATTCTCTATTGTTTGGGAGGAGTTCAACAGATTTTCCAGAAATAAAAAATTTCATTTCCAGTATCTACAGGAATTGCCAATATTCCCCCAAATATTAATTTAGCAACCTCCATTACTTTTTCTTTTTTCTTTCATCTTTTTTTGGATACATATTTTATCTTCAGTTACATCTTGTTCCCAAATGAAAACCTCAAATTCAACTAACCAATCCTCACAGTCAAGAAAATGCACTCCACAACAGTACAAGGTAAGAAGTTATGGATGTAAAATTATTGCTAACCATCAACCAGTACCACTGGGACTTTTAAGTAGCCGAAAGGACAAGAATTTCCCTTGAATCTAAGTCATTCATCGATTACTAACTCTCCCTCACCATGTCTAACACAGGATACATTTCCCCATTTAACAGTAAAGAGAAATCTGAAAAGGTGTTAAGTCCAAGCCTCCTTCTAAATTAATTTCTTAAAGTTCAGTGATGTAAACTAAACTATGACTAGGAATGACAATAATCGTTTGAAACAATTAGCTGGTAAGAATGTTTGAATTTTTTAGGAAACTCTTTTAAAACACCAATGTGAAGCCTAACAATTTTTTTTAAAGCAAAGCTTTTTAACTAATACTTTAAAAATGTAGAGTAACCATGTTAGAATCCCCTCCCACTCCACCCCCTAAAAGGGGGTAGGGGATGTTTATAACTGGTTCATTTATGTCTAATAAAAAAAATCTTCCTTAAAAGTCTTCAGTACCTAATAACATCCCCTGAATAAGGAGGTTGGCAGGGGAAGTTGTCAGAAAAATTTAATTTCCTTTCATTAGCCAGTCTGCTCCACAAATAGGTGCTTGTTAAGTTCAAAGCGGTCCTGAGAGCGACATCAGTTTTAAGTCTTTTTTTTTTTTTACTCCAAGCAGTCACATCTGCTAATGAGATTTTCCAAATAACAATTGTTTTCAAGTCAGAGATAAATCTATACTTCTACCCTCCCCCCAAAAATCAAAGTTTACTGCTTTATTACACCTTGCTGTTTTTGCTGACCCTACATTCTCCAAATTTTAGCTTAAAGGGATAAAAATCCATGAAAAGGGTCATTTAGGAATGTTAGTGGTTTCCACACATTGAGTTTGAAGGTTCTTTGTTCCAGCCAGTGACAGTTATTGGAGAATACTTCCCCTTAATAGCCTCTCTGTCAGGAAGTGTTAAACCCGCCAAATGCGGACAATTAGTGCCTCCCGAACAAAATACAGGAAGAGTGTGGCTGATGGAAACTGGATTATAAGAAGCCTAGAAGGAAAGTTTTCACATGTCTTTTTCAAAGGGCAAGCGGTACATTTGCAAAAGATATTGTGAGAGAAAATAAACCCTGCCTAAGAAGTATGTTACCTGAAGAACTGACCAGGCGGCAAATGCAGAGAGAGGGCGACGAGACTCCTCCAGTCCCGTGTTGCCATTAGTTTACATTTACACACAGCACAGATGTCAGGGCTGGAGAGACACAGCTACACAAAGCAAACTGCTCCACATTCCCGACCTGCCACCAATCCAATACCTCTAGCAACTGCCGCAAAACACCCTTGTCTTTTAATTTCAGTTTTCTTACTATGAAAAGCAAATCCTACTAAATCAAAATCCCAGTAAAATCAAACTGCCTTAAAAATAAATTTTCACTTGTCATTTGTTCCTCCCCAAAATATTTTACTGAGGACATATTATGTACTGGACCTTAAAAAACTCTTATCAGTTTCCATAATAAGCTATTAAGTATACCTAATCAGCTCCCATATGTTCTTTCAGCATGTGGAGTTTTATTATCAGGCAATAAAATACTACTTTTAAAGAGAATTTTTTTTAAAACCCCACAGAGCTCCAAATTCAATGAAGCTGACACATCCATCACACAGCCTAACTGACTTCCCTATAAGGTTGACTGTAGGAGGGGGAATATTTAATGAAAACTGGAATTCCCAATCATCAGGAAAAATGGGCAAAGGATTAGATAAAAAGTTTACATAAAAAGAAACTGAAGGGGTCTCCCTGGTGGCACAAGGGGTTAAGCACCACACTATGAAGCATCCGCAGCCTCTGCAGCACGAGTTTGATCCCCAGCCAGCCAGGGAGCAACCCACATGGCGCAGCAAACCTCTCTTGACTCGCCCGCTGCTCCCCTCAGCAGTGTACTTTACTTTAGTCAGTCTGCCCGTTCTGTTCCCACTCTGTCTCTGGTGAATTCTCTCACCCCCCACATCTCTGGCCTGTATCCCAGCTCTTGTATGCATAAATAACTAAATCTTTTAAAAAATAAAATAAAATGCAACTGAAGAGTTTAATTTATAAAACAGGTTCACCTTTAGCCTCATGGACTAGATTTTGGTTTCTAGATCTACTAATTACCTTCCTAATCTAGAGTTTTTCTGCACATTGTGTAAATAGGTAGAGGACTCTATCAAGGGTACAGACATGCAAAAACAAGAATGAGACACCAGTTTTCATCTAAGTTTGAGACTAGCCTGGACTGATGACTTGGAAGACAAAGAAAGTCAACTCACATCACTCATCCAGTACAAAATGGGACAATTTTTTTTCAAAAGGGAACTGTCAGTTATCTATCAGATACTGGACACATTTTGACTCAGCTATCGCATTTTTAGGATATTAGCCTCTGGCTCATGCATGCACACAGACAGATACAGAAAGCACTTGGTTGTTTTCAATTTGGTGGCATTTTGATGAGGAAGCCTGAAAACAATTTCAACGGTCTTCAATAAGGAATTGGTACCATAAATGGCACATACATAAGCTGGAATATTACATAGCCTTTAAAAAGAATGAGTATCATCCACATCTTCTTATTCATCTAGTTATACATTAATTCAACATATATTTAGTGGACAATACTACATGGAACTTAGAACCTAATGAGAAAAACAGAAAAGAGAGCAAACAAATCAAGTGAAAATTGAAATGATGCTACATGAAAACAAGTAATACTGAGGGAGAGAGTAAAAGGGGCCACCCCACCCGTTCTAGATAAACTGTTCAGAAAAAAATCCTTCTGAAATCAATTTTCAACTAAAAACTGAGGATAAAGGGCCTCCCCGGTGGCGCAGCGGTTGAGCGCTGGGTTGCGAGGCTGCCTGCAGCCTCTGCAGCCGGTTCGATCCCCGGCTGCTCCCCGGCCACCAGAGGAGGGTCCCACATGGCGCGCAGACCTCTCCTGCCGCCCGCTGCTCCCCTCAGCAGTGTACTTCGGTCCTTCTGCCTGCTCTGCTCCCCGCTCTGGCTCTGGTGAATTCTCTCGCCCTCCCGCGCTTCTGACTGTACCCAGTGCATGTATCAAACAAACAAACAATAAATAAATAAATAAGACATGCCTCTAGAAAATTAAAAAAAAAAAAAAAAAAAAAAAACTGAGGATAAAAACAGGTAGTCCTGGGAAAATTGGGGAGAAAGGACTCTTGACAGAGTCCTTCTACGTATTTACATAATGTGCAGAAAAACTCCAGGAAGGTAATTAGTAGTTTTAGAAACCAAAAGCCAGTCCATGAGGCTAAAATCAGCCCTGTAAGGAAGTGCAGAGGTCAGAAGGAAGTGGGTGTGGAAGGGCTGGCCTACTCAATCTCAGCACAGACTCTAAATACCCTACACCCATGCTCCAGGTGATGACCCAGGGACTCAGGTTTTAGAGGGCAAATAATTCTCTAAAGATAACAGCACACACTCTAGGGGAAAAAACAAGTGGTAGGGTAGTATATATAATGTGGTCTTATTTACATTAAAACAAAGCACCTGCGCATGTGCATAAAAGCTTATGAATGGACACACATGAGAAATGAGAAATGCAGCCTGGGTTAGTGCCAGAAAGTAGGGTCAAAATTGGGGAGAAGAGGCACTTTTACTATCGTTATATTGAGGTTTTTACCATAAGGTTCAAAATGTCATACTTCAGACTTTCATAATTGTAAACTCAGATCAGCAACACTTGAAAGTATTATTCAGATTATCTAATGGTTTCACCCACCCTTCCACCTTGAAGCCATCAGGAATATGACATCAGCGATATCATTTGATTCCATGGCTCGAAGTGACAAGTCACTGGGGTTCAACACTCTGCAGTCCCAACCAGTATCAGAGGATGTCATATTCGGGCTTTGACATTAACTCCCAGGGCCATTAATGGGAAAAGGGTTGCAGGAAAGCATTAGGGTGTTTCGTTCCGAAACAGCAGTTCAAGAAAAGGAGAAAGAGGGAAGAAGCCACCAGTATCCATTTCCTTCACACCAAGGGAGCTCCACTATCCAAACCAAGAACAGTAACAGTGAGAAACTGATTTGCGAGTGTTGGGATGGCTGGGTGATGCTTGATCAGCAATATGTAGATCATGAATATTAAAAAGAACCAACTAAAATCAGGTGGCTTCCTGCAAGCCTGATGTACTTGAAAGTGCTCCATGGCACCCACAGCGAAGAAGACAGCCAGGCCCAGCGCTGATGGAGACAGCAGCATCTCACAGAGCGATGGCAACTAAACCTGAGTGATACACGCGCAACAGTGACTGACACCCAAGAGCACCCAACTCAGGTTGGCAAT